CCTAAGTCATTACCTATATCTCCCAATAGCATAAATGTTGATGGTGCTAATGTGTCAGACAATGCAAATATTGCTGAAGCTTTTAATGACTTTTTCATTTCTAATGCTACTAAGATTACAAAGGACCTGCGAAGGAATAAGTCTCAACTGAGAGTAGACGAGGACAATAATATTGGTCCAACTCATTCGCAATTTAATTTGAATTTGATTACTGAGGATTTTGTATTGAAACAGATTGATAATCTGAGTATAGATAAAGCAACTGGTGAAGATCACATCAGCTGTAAACTTTTAAAGATGACGAAGAATGTTATCGCAGAGTCTCTTTGTGATATCATTAACAAATCCCTGTCTACAGGAGTTGTTCCACGTGAATGGAAAAAGGCTCGGGTAGTACCAATATTCAAATCTGGAGATATTTCTTCTTTGAATAATTACCGTCCCATTTCGATATTACCTATCGTGAGTAAAATTATAGAAAGGGCCGTCCACCAACAACTCAGTGAATTCTTGGACGTGAATAAATTATTACACCCTAATCAGTCTGGTTTTAGACCTAAACATTCAACAGCTACTGCCCTTGCAAAACTTGTAAATCTATGGTCGTTGAATATTGATAACAAAGAAATTTCTGGAGTTGCCTTCATAGATCTTCGTAAGGCTTTTGATACTGTTGACCATGAGCTACTTCTACATAGACTAGCTTGTATAGGTTGTAGTAATAGGACTATTTATTGGTTCAAATCATATTTAGGGGATCGACAACAAGTGACCCAATTCAAAGGAGCCAAGTCGCATCCATCAACCATCAAATTAGGTGTGCCACAAGGTTCAATTCTTGGTCCCCTTTTATTTTCAATATATGTTAATAGTCTACCTGAATGTACTCCTGAAGGTATCATAGATATGTATGCTGACGATACGACACTTACCGTCAGTGCAAATGATGCAACTGTTGTGGAAGAAAAATTAACTGTTGCGTTAAACAGAGTCATGGCATGGATTAAGGAAAATCGTCTTGTTCTTAACACTGAAAAAACTTGTGTCATGTTAATAGGCTCTCCTGCTAATCTCAAGAAAATTGAATCTTTCACCATTTCATTAAACGGCAATTTGATCAAAAGAGTTCAATTCACCAAATGCCTAGGACTTTTGATAGATGAAGAATTGAAATGGTCTAAACAAATCGAAAACGTAAGTAAACTTACCCAGAAAAACATTAGCATGATAAAGAGAGCAAAGAGTTTTTTGCCTCAAAAATCCTTAAAGTTACTTTATAACAGTCTAGTGTTGCCACGATTAGATTACTGCTCTGTTGTATGGTCGAACCGATTTCATTCTCATACAACTAAGCTGCAAAAAATTCAAAAGAGGGCCGCAAGAATAATATTGAACAAGACATATGACACACCGTCGGCCGATTTGTTCACAAGTCTTAAATGGATGACACTAGACAAGCGGTTTGAGTTAAGTCGCGTTATGATGATATATAAATGCGTTCATAACTTAGCACCCTCTTACCTTCAGGTAGGCTTAATCAATCCTAATGATGTACATGAGCATCATACAAGGCAAATAGACAGTGGATGTTTACGTGTGCCTAGATTTCACACTGATTGTTATAAGTGTAGCCCAATTGTTTCTTCCATATTTGAATGGAATAAGCTAGATAATTCGTTGAGAACGGCTTCCTCTGTCAATTCATTTAAGAGATTGTTTAAACAAAGTTGTAATTTGTGAATAGCTCAGCCGTACATACACTACGTGCATGTTCTGTAATATTTACATGTCTTATTCACATAATTGCGACTTAATTAATATTTTCCTATTGACATTACTGCTTACTAGGTTAATGATATATGTTAATTTTGCAAACGAGTATTATTTTTGTAACTGTTCTGTATAAATGTTATAAACGATGTAAATATGTTCATTCAGGGCCCCATGGAAGACCACTACTTGCTGGTGAATGGGCTACCCTGTCAAAAGATCAGAAATAAATAAATAAATAAATAAATAAATAAATACAAGGAATTTCATAAGTTGACCTCTGTGACCTGTGACCTTTGACCTACGTACTCCAAAATCTAATCAGATCGTCTTCCTATGGTGATAAATACTATTCCTGAGTCTTAATGAATAAAAGAAGGAGCTACACCCCTCCTTGGGCCCTAACCAACACACCAGAGACAGGATAGGATATATCCACCCCGGCACTGACTGTAATAAACCCAACTTCCTACTAAATTTAATCCCTAATAGTATTAATCTCTAAGTCGATACTTATTCTTATATTCTAAAACTGTCCTAAAATATATAAGAAATAAATGCTATAATTGTATCTGTATAATGCAATAGATGCCCTAATATTCCAACACTGCGAAGAAGAAGAAGCCCCACCTCCGCACCGCCAAGACTCACGACTACCCTGGGATAAAACTCCCAGAGCCAAGTCCTCACCCACGGTAACAAAAGTGCTATCTATTTATCTGATATCTTCTGTTCCCCGGAAAACACCCCTACAACGGAGTTAAAACCGAACAGTCAACCAAGATAAACAAACAATCAAAAGCAATTCCAGTTATAGATTCACCAGAACACCACCACAATTAATACAAATTCCAACCACAGCTAGTTCAGTAATAAAAATATAAGTAACCTAACCTAGATGTCTAGGTTACAACTCCCTCCACCAACTAAACAAACAGTCCAACAAATCTGAAGTATTTGCCCTAAACTAACCTAAGGATTGCTAAGAACTATTTCATTATTGGAAATTGTTTACACACTACAATTTGATTAAGTTATATATAATATTGAATAGAATTAACTTAACCAAGTCTGCGAAGAAGACTAGAATCACCCCTCCACAGTAGCAGAACTCATGGGAGCAGATCCCCCACGATATCCACTAAATCTAGATTTATTATCAGTAACTTTTACGCCTCCGAAACAAATTAAACGAATCCAAACAGCTTGTCTTCAACAAATAATCACTAATTTTATTTGTCTCCTATTCCCTCTTTATTTTTAATTTTATTTAATAATTGGCTACGAACACTATGAACATGACAGACAAAGAAAGCGGACAAAATATACAGTTCCTCAGATAGACAAAGGAACATCCTTCACTGCTATTATGTAAAAAGGTGAATATGCATGTAACACCTGTTCTACACATTTTTACATAATAGCAGTGAAGGGATGTTCCTTTGTCTACCTGAAAGAACTGTATATTTTGTCCGCTTTCTTTGTCAGTCATATTCATAGTGGAAGCCCCCTACCGCCAAGCGGGTAGGTGGGCCTACACGGAACTGCTGGTAACACTAACTCCGGGAAGCTCCAACACCGGCGCACAGTGGGCCAGCATCGCCTCAAAGTGTGCCAAAATTCAAAATTGGCGAATGTGAATTTTTTATATTTTTTTCATTCGCTTGGGGAAGAAAACATTCTAAAGAATATTTTTCCACCCATACTTTAATATTTAGCGAGTTTTAAAAGTGTCATATACCCCTGCGAACATGGGAAAATCTATATGTTGCTCCAAAAATGATAAAAGAGGCAACTTTACAATAGGTGTTGAGAATTTATGAAGGGAAAAGCAATCAACTTGATACTGCATGCACTTCTTGCCTATTGGTAACCCAATTAGAAAATACAATGACCAAATTTATGGAAGCTTCATTTTGGGAAAAATGAGCATTAAATTTCACCAAAAAAGGAAAAAATTGCATTTTTTTATAAAAGTAGCATGTTTATTAGGATTCCGGCCGATTCCCGCAGTGATGTTAATCTCAAAATGTCCGCCCAAACCTAAGCTTTCCATGTATGGTATTTCTTTTTGCCAGAATTTGCAACACTGCATGTGCAGGCGCTTTTCCTCCCCATGTCCATCGATTATTATTAGGCATAAAGTTTACGCACAGCCGATTCAACGCTCGTCCGCGTAACCATGGCAACACACAGTGGGCCAGGGAGGAACCAAAGTGCGCCAAAACTCATTTTTGGTGATTTGTTTTTCTTTCATTCTCTTCTTGACCAGTTGAACTGTAATACATTGAGGAATACCTCAGTAAAATATTTAATTCCGGTAAGCACAACTAGATCTAGGGTATAAATTTACTCCTTCAAACAGCAAAATCCTCTAGACCCTATTCACAGTTTTAGTGCAAAAGTGACTTATTTTATAAATCTTTCAATTTAACATGAAGTTATTGATATGAAATTGCTCTCACATATTCCTGATAGTTCATTTCGTTGCATGAATTGGTTAAAATGTATAGAAACACAATCTTCATGATATATTAAAGGTTAATTCACTGAAAAAAGGACTAATTATCCATGTTTTTTATAAATCCAGAGGAAACGTTTAGATTTCCGCAGAGTTCCGCTTATATTTTAATACCACCATTTTGTCTGATGTCTAAGCTTTAAGTTGATACCAAATGTGGCTGCCCGATCTTGCCCGTTGTCATGTTAGAGCCGATTCCCATTGCCACATTGTCCCGAAAAATATGTTTGTTTTTAGTCCGGGGCTGAATCATAAAGGATTCGCGGTCATAAATCACGGCGCTTGGGCCGGGGGCGCGTGACACTCGTTCTGACACCGCGGACCAAAATAAACACATTTTTCGGGGCAATGTTGCAAGGAAAACGGCTCTAACATAATAACGGGCACAATCGGGCAGCCAAATCTGGTATCAACTTAAAGCTTAGATATCAGAGAAAATGTTGGTAATACCATTTAAGCGGAAATCCCTGGACATCCAAACATTTCCTATGGATTAATAGAAAATAAATCCCCAGAAATTAGTTTTGGCACACTTTGGTTCCTCCCTGGCCCACTGTGCGGCGACGCCTGCGGCGCCGGTGGAGCACTCACACGCGTATACAGCCAATGATAAATCCACGTATCAAAAAATGAGTGAAGGAAAAGCCCGACAAAATCAGTCTATAGGAGAAAAACAATGATTAGAAGTCAAAAGCAAAGGATTTCCTACCTTACAATCCACGAGAATCCCACCTCTCCAAACTCCTAAATCAGTGTAAATTCCAGTTGGGCTTAGATAGGGTCTAATTGAAGAAGAAGTTAACGATTTTGCAGGAGCAAAGTTTTTTTTGTCGTTGTTGAGTGTTTGTGACAGTCGCGTCGAGGCAAAAAATAGATCGTAACTTCTCACCCAGCAGTTTCCGAGAAATCCCGAACTCTCGCACGTGTTTAGAAATGGAAACTTCCACACCACAACACGTGAGTGAATGGGTACGTACTCCGGAAAATCTGGGTGAGCGAAACTTCCGCCGCCCTGATTGGTCTATCCCCTCCAGCGAACGTGTGCGTGCGAATCTTGAATTCCGGAACTCCTCAAGACTCACGCTCGAAGGGATATGAATGGAAAAACGTAACCCAGCTGGGGATACACACTATGAACATGACAGACAATAAAAGCGGACAAAATATACAGTTCCTCAGGTAGACAAAGGGACAGCCCTTCACTGCTATTATGTAAAAATGTGTAGAACAGGTGTCACATGCATATTCACCTGTTCTACACATTTTTACATAATAGCAGTGAAGGGATGTTCCTTTGTTTTCCTGAGGAACTGTATATTTTGTCCGCTTTCATTGTCTGTCATGTTCATAGTGACAATCATCCCCATCGGTTATTCCTGGAATGTTTCCCACATTCCATCATCCATTCTTCTACAAATCACATTCACGCCATTCAATAAGAAAGCTTCCATAAACATTCAAAACGGCTGACCATCTCATCCTGCTTAAAAGCCACCAGGTTGATATCCATCATTCCATCACACCCAACATTAAACATACATAAAACAGGACATTCACCACACTAGTATTAAAACTAGCCACAAATAACATAACACATCCACTCACGAGAGATATAACACCGTACTTCACTGCAGCCATCCAGCCATGGGCCTATACCCATCCCCCACCGAACCTGTCAGCCCTTCACGGCGCGGCGCGGCGCGGCGCTCACTCCCGTAAAGGCACAGAAAGTTTAAAATTCACCATTTTAAAACAAATGGTCGGCCGGAACTATACGGGCACCACTCCCAACCGGAAAATTTGTTTCCACTAGGAAACTAGCGAGCGATACCCCGCACAACCCCCAGCGCAATCCCGGCAAATTTAGGTCCATGCCCGTTTTGACAAATTAAAATTGACAAAACAACAAAACAAGTTACCCCAAAACGGTGCATTTCGAGGTCCTAAAAGTCCATGATGCCAATGAAGTACACCATAACCATACATGTAATACTCACTGGAATGTATCAGGCCGGCTAGACATCATTAACTTCCAGTACAGGTACGGGTACGTCTGTTCGGTTGAATAGTCGGTTGCGTGAGAGAAAGAGTTCAGGTTGACTCTCTTCCACGGAAGCTTTCAATAGGAATAGCGCCCTCTAGTGGTGAAGGTGGCTATTGTAGACTGCTATGCTCTGCTACACTCGTAGTCTGCTTCGTGCTTGTAGTCTATATCATAAACTACTATACCACTTTTTTGTCCATTCTGACCAAAATGATATGAATGTTGCAGAGTTTTTGAGGGGCTGTATCTTTTGATAGAAACATCGTGAGTCTTGAAGTTTGAAATGTATTATTCTGATTACATTTTTTCTTCAAATATCCAACCAAAATGGTGAAAAACGATCCAAATTGAAAATTGAAAAATCGTTCAGACAAGTCACTAGCCTAGGGTCTAGACTTACAATTCGAATTTTTAAATTATTCTTTTTAACATCAGTAAGTTAAAAAGAAATGTATTTTACTGCTATTTAGGTGTCATCAATTGTCACTAAAGTACCGATTTTTAGTGAAATCAGTTGACTTTTGTACAGTGCATGGTGTTTGAAATGTTGAGAATCAAAAGCACAGCTTTTACTACATAGCCAGGATAGTGATGCTCCTATGTGTGGGCTAGCCTAGTACCATATCATAAAAACACATTTCCACAGAGCCCTTAATTAAGGCTACAGCCGATTAGCCTTAATCTGCAATACTCAATGCTCTGCACAGTTACGAGTATACTTGTATTTTCCTGCGGTACAACGTATAGCAGGAAAATGTTGTATATGCGGATCCGTTTAATGATTACGTAATGGGAGTGGCGAGACGCCACGATCCCGCGAAGCGGGATGGTTTGAATAACTTAGGCAGGTGTAAGTTATTGTATTGAGAAGGAAAGGAATGTTCAGAAAGGCATAATTAAGAGAGGGAAATGGGCGTGGTAGCCATTCTAGCTTTGTCAGACACTAGATACACGACACAAATTTCAAGTGGAAATTTTAATACAGAACAATAGTTTGGTGTTTGTTTTTGTAGGAGGTATAGAGATTCAAATAGATTATTTTTATTGGGACGATTTGCCATTAGATTTTTCCACAGCATTTGCCTTATTTAGTTTATCTCTGGTTTTTTCAACCTAGGGAATCGGTCAGGGCGTGGGGCAAAAAGGCAAAGCCCCATGCCGGTTAGGGATCAAATTTAATAATTTGCAATGTTCTATACACGTCAGTATATACTTAGGTGTGAAAGTTGACGATTGAAATTATGCAATGTTAATGAGTTTAAAAATTGAAATTATTTTGATGTTCAAATGATATAATAACAAAGATTGTTCATGATTGTTCAAAAAGATACAATTCGAATAAAAGCTGGCTTGGTCGGTCTGGCAGGCTTTCCCATAAAGTTTGTTATTGATGTAATATGTGAGTCATTAACTGAGTAATGAGAAGGATGAGAATATACTCAATGCTCCGCACAGTTACGAGTATTAAATGTACATCTCTCTGGCAGAACGCCTAACTCGGTGCATATAACGCACATGGTTACGAACGTTAGTTGAACGCCTAACTCTATGACAGGCAATTCATAGGCACCTTTCACTATGAACATGACTGACAAAGAAAGCGGACAAACTATACAGTTCCTCAGGTAGACAAAGGAACATCCTTTCACTGCTATTATGTACAAATGTGTAGAACAGGTGTCACATTCACATTCACCATTTTACATAATAGCAGTGAAGGGATGTTCCTTTGTCTACCTCAGGCGCGGATCCAGGATTTCTTAGGGGGGGGCCCACTTTTTTTTTAAATTAAAAAAAAATCACAGAAAGGGGGGAAGTTGCTCCAAATACACACATAAAAAACCGAAGGGGAGGGTCCATCCCCTAACCCCCTCCCCCTCCCCTTCCGTACGTGCCTACACCATGAACATGACAGACAAAGAAAGCGGACAAATATACAGTTCCTCAGATAGACAAAGGAACATCCTTCACTGCTATTATGTAAAAAGGTGAATATGCATGTAACACCTGTTCTACACATTTTTACATAATAGCAGTGAAGGGATGTTCCTTTGTCTACCTGAAGAACTGTATATTTTGTCCGCTTTCTTTGTCAGTCATATTCATAGTGCTACTCGTCTGAAAATAGTTTTTCCACTCCCGCGCGAAGCACGGAAGCTTTTACGTTTCATTAAATCGTTAGAAAAAGAAGACGATTCGTTGTACAGTTTTTTCATTCCCCCCTCCCGCGCAAAGCTCGGAAGCTTCTACGTTTCATTAAATCATTAGAGAAAGAAGACGATTCGTTGTACCGTTCTCGACTCTTAATCCTCATCTGAATTAATTTTTCTCCTCCTCCCTCCCGCGCAAAGCGCGGAAGCTTGTACGTTTCATTAAATCATTAGAGAAAGAAGTCGATTCGTTGTACCGTTCTCGAAAATAATCCTCGTCTGAATACAGCTTTTACGTTTCATTAAATCATTAGCGAAATAAGACGATTCGTTGTACCGTTATGACTTTTAATCCTTGTCTAAATTCAGTTTCCCCCCCCCTCCCACGCGAAGCGCGAAAGCTTTTACGTTTCATTAAATCATTAAAGACAGAAGACGATTTGTTGTACCGTTCTCGACTCTTAATCCTTGTCTAAATTCAGTCCCCCCCCCCCCCCGCTTCGACGTTTCATTAAATTTTTAGAGAATGAAGACGATTCGTTGTTCCGCTCTCGAAAATAATTTAGTTTCTCCCACCAGCGCGAAGCGCGGAAGCTTTTACTTTTCATTAAATCATTAGACAAAGAGGAAGAATCGTCGTACCGTTCTCGACTCTTAATCCTTGTCTAAATCAATGCCCCCCCCCCCCCCTTACGCGCGAAGCGCGGAAGCTTCGATGTTTCATTAAATTATTATAGAAAGAAGACGATTCGTTGTACCGTTCCCGAAATTTATCCTCGTCTGAATTAAGTTCCCCCTGCCCTCTGCCGCGCATAGCGCGCGCGGAAGCTTTGACGTTTCATTAATTCATTAGAGAAAGAAGACGATTCGTTGTACAGTTCTCGACTCTTAATCCTTGTCTAAATTCAGTCCCCCCCCCCCCCCCCCTCCTGCGCGAAGCGCGGAAGCTTTGACGTTTTTATTTAACTATTAAAGAAAGAAGACGATTCGTTGTACTGTTCTCGACTCTTAATCCTCGTCTGAATTCAGTCCCCCCCCCCCCCTCCCGCGCGAAGCGCGGAAGCTTTTAAGATTCATTAAATTATTAGAGAAAGAAAACGATTCGTTGTACAGTTCTCGACTCTTCATCCTTGTCTAAATTCAATTCCTCCCCCTCCCCCTCCCCCTCCTGTGCGAAGCGCGGAAGCTTCTACGTTTCATTAAATCATTAGAGAAAGAAGACGATTAGTTGTACAGTTCTCGACTCTTAATCCTCGTCTGAATTCAGGTCCCCCCCCCCCCCCTCCCCTCCTGCGCGAAGCGCGGAAGCTTCTACGTTTCATTTAATCATTAGAGAAAGAAAACGATTCGTTGTTCAGTTCTCGACTCTTAATCCTCGTCTGAATTCAGTCTCCCCCTCCCCCTCCTGCGTGAAGCGCGGAAGCTTTGACGTGTTATTAAACTATTAAAGAAAGAAGACGATTCGTTGTACCGTTCTCGACCCTTTATCCTCGTCTGATTTCAGTTCCCCCCCCCTCCCCCGCCTCCCGCGCAAAGCGCGGAAGCTTTTACGATTCATTAAATTATTAGATAAAGAAGACGATTCGTTGTACTGTTCTCGACCCTTTATCCTCGTCTGATTTCAGTCCCCCCCCCCCACCCTCCCCCGCCTCCCGCGCAAAGTGCGAAAGCTTTTACGTTTCATTAAATCATTAGAGAAAGAAAACGATTCGTTGTACAGTTCTCGACTCTTAATCCTTGTCTAAATTCAGTCTCCCCCCTCCCCCTCCTGCGTGAAGCTCGGAAGCTTTGACGTTTTATTAAACTATTAAAGAAAGAAGACGATTCGTTGTACCGTTCTCGACCCTTTATCCTCGTCTGATTTTAGTTCCCCCCCCCCCCTCCCGCGCGAAGCTCGGAAGCTTCTACGTTTCATTAAATCATTAGAGAAAGAAAACGATTCGTTGTACAGTTCTTGACTCTTAATCCTTGTCTAAATTCAGTCCCCCCCCCCCCACCCCTCCTGCGCGAAGCGCGGAAGCTCTGACGTTTCATTAAACTATTAAAGAAAGGAGACAAGTCGTTTTACTGTTCTCGACTCTTAATCCTCGTCTGAATTCAGTTTCCCCCCCCCCCCTCCCTCCCGCGCGAAGCGCGGAAGCTTTTAAGATTCATTAAATTATTAGAGAAAGAAAACGATTCGTTGTACAGTTCTCGACTCTTAATCCTCGTCTAAAATGCAGTCCCCCCCCCCTTCCCTCCTGCGCGAAGCGCGGAAGCTTCTACGTTTCATTAAATCATTAGAGAAAGAAGACGATTCGTTGTACAGCTCTCGACTCTTAATCCTCGTCTGAATTCAGGTTCCCTCCTCCCGCGCAAAGCGCGGAAGCTTTTAATCTTCATTTAATCATTAAAGAAGAAGACGATTCGTTGTACCGTTCTCGAAAATAATCCTCATCGGAATTTAGTTCCCCCTCCATCCCTGCGCGAGGCTTTGACGTTTTATTATTAGAGAAAGAAAACGATGCGTTGTACCGTTCTCTATACTCTTAATCCTTGTCTGAATTTTAAAGATGTTCTTTGTCTGCTCCTATTTCTTCCTACGTCCTCTTCCGATTGACCGCCCCACCGCCCCCCCCCCCCCTTGCTACGCGCCTGCGGTCAGATAAACACATCTTGATACCTTGATACCGACCCCGCAAGCTCAGGGGTTTAAGGCAATACATTACGGTCAGATAAGCATTCAGGGGCCCGCCTTAGGGCCCCTAGTGGGGTCGAGGCGGCGAAGCCGGCCCCGGAAGCTCAGGGGTTTTAGGCGTTTAATTAAGGTCAGATGAGCATATTTTTTTGTATACCTTATTATTTTGCGAAACTGGCAGGTCACCCTTTGGCGTGGGGTCCAGGTCCAAAAATCAGGGTTTTAGGCATTAAATTACCGTCATAATATTATGATCATCTAAGGGCAAGGGGGAAGCTTAGGGGTTTTAGGCATTTAATCACGGTCAGATGAGCATATTTTGATGCCTCATTATTTTGTTAACACTGGCAGTTAACTATTCTCACTTTCTTGCTCTCATTCTATTTTATTTCTCTTTAATATACTTTTTCAAGAAAAGTGGGGGGGGGGCTCGAGGCTCTCGATCCCCGCCGTACCTCGGGCCCTGCCATGTAGGAATCTCAAGAATCATATTTTTTGCCTGGCTGTAAATTTAGAAATTTGTCATTTTCCAACAAACACATACAAACGTATAATTGACTAAAAAGTGAGGAAAATTTCGGAAATTATGTCATTTCAGCATTATTTGTAATCCACCGTTGTGGAATTAAAAATAAACCACGTTTGAATTTGAATTCTCCTGAGCCCCCCCCCCCCTCTATCAGTACGCCAGTATCTCCTCTTTTCCTTTTTTTCTTTCCCTTTCCTTCCATTTCTCTTATTTTTTTTTGATTGGGGGGGGGGGGGTTAACAGCCTGGGAGGCAAGGCCCTTTTGCCCCCCCCCCCGATCTCCTTCTTCTCCCCCCTTTTCTTTTCTTCTTCCTCTTCTTTATTTCCCTTTTTCTCCTTTTTCCCTTTCCCTTCCTTTCCTTTCTTCTCTTTTTTTTTTTTTTTTTTTGCGGGGGGGGGGGGGGGGCTGGGGGGGGGGGGGGGGGGGGGGGGGGGCAAGGTTCGCTCGCCCCCCTGGATCCGCACCTGGAATCGCCAGGCTAAAAACCTGTATTGATCTACGTACAGCTAAAGCGGGCTCCGAAACTCTATGACGGGCTCCAATCCTCTGCGAAGTATCATAATAATCATAGAGATGATGAAAAAAGGAAAAGAAAGTGACGATGAGTTGTAATTGATGTTATATAAATGTGTTGTAGTTGATGTTATATAAATTACGAGTGTTCTGAGATAAATTTAGTACAGAAATGCCCCTAAAGTAGTTGGAATCGCCATGCTTAAAACCTGTATTGACACTGTACGTAGAGCTAAAGCGGGCTCCAAAACTCTATGACGGGCTCCAATCCTCTGCGAAGTATTAAAATAATCATAGAAAATGAAGAAAAAGGGAAAATGAGATGACGATTTGTTTAAACTGATGTTAGATTAATAATTATGTAGTGTTCTGAAATAAAATGTAGTAAAAAATAATTATACCCCTAAAATTGTTGGAATCGCCAGGCTTAAAACTTGTATTGACAATGTACGTACAGCTAAAGCGGGCTCCGAAACTCTATGACGGGCTCCAATCCTCTGCGAAGACAAAGTGATTAAAAACTCATAGAGATGATGAAAAAGGAAAAGGAAGTGACGATGTGTTGTAATTGATGTTATATAAATGTGTTGTATTTGATGTTATATAAAATTGTATTTGATGTTATATAAATTACGAGTGTTCTGATATAAATTTAGTACAATATGGAATCGCGAGGCTTAAAAGGTTTTAAGCCTGGCGATTCCTTTGGGGGTTTATCATTCTGTACTCCATTATCTCAGAACACCACAATCATAATAACATTAGTTTCAACAAATCGTCACCTTACTCCTCTTTTTATCACTCTATGGTTATTTTAATACTTCATAGAGGATAGGAGATATGAAAGGATGAGGCTTTGCTTCTTGATTTTATCTAAATAACTTGGGAAGAATCAATGCAATTCTGTGCAATTATTTATCCAGTTGTACCTTGGTTTCATTCATGATTAACAAGTCATGATACGATCCATTTCAAAATAGTTGTTGTCCCATTATTAGTAAAGATAAATAAAATAATTGTAACATTGATGAAAGCGATCGGGATGCCAGAGATAGATAGCTCATTTTGTCCTCACTGACCAAAAAATGTCAAAAAAATGGAAGTTTTAATAATATTAGACTCGACTCGGTGATACAGCTCAATCACCAATATAGGAGACTTTGAAAGATAGAAAAGCATAATGCTCGCCTTGGCTAATTAGTACGACCACTTTAAAATACAGAGATTAACAGTAGCCACATCCTGAAGGGACACATTTCTACCTGCAAACACCACTAAAGAAAAGAGGGTCCTATTAAAGGGAGGAGATAATGGGGAAGGTACACCAAATTCTCTGTGAGACCAGGGCATGTGAGTAATCCCTAACATTGTGTCCAGTGCTGTTGACGGTCAAAACCTATAGCAAATAAATTATCTACCAGCAAGAGTTCTTAAAATGGAAAGGAAAATAATAAGCAAAACCACCTTTCACTAAACTGCATCATAAAGCACAAAGCAGAGTTTGTTTCTTACAATGGAAGTATAATTTAAGAAAAGAAAATGGATAGAGAGAGAGAGAGAGAGGGGGGGGGGGGGGGAACTGGGATGTGTCAAACGTATGATAAGGGGAAGTGTGTTGTACTCATATAGGACATCACAAGAATAATATGCTGACTTTATAGCAACTGACATTTTTATGGGGATTACACAATGTTTTAAGCCTGCACGCCATCTCAGAACACTACCTAACATCAATTAAAAAAGTCTTTTCTTTATTTTTCCGTGTTCATCATTATATATCTATGATTTGTTCATACTTCATAGAGGATAGGAGGCTGATATAGTGATTAAGAGCCTGCTTAAGCTGTTATTATTGATCAATACAGGTTTGGATTTATGTACTAAATTTATCTCAGAACACTACATGAATTTGTACAGCAATAATTAAGTTCCACAAATCTTTTCTTTCTTTTCTTTTTTCCATCCCCTCCAAGATTTTTGTTCATACACTCATAGAGGATAGGAGCCAGATAATAGTGCATGTTTAGGAACCCGCTTATTAAAATATACGCGCGGTGATCAAGACAAATAGTTATTGTTAATAGTAGGAATAATAGAGAATATTTTATAAATTCTAATTATCTTCTGAAATCCCAATTTGAACATTATCGTAGTTTTCCTTCCTTATCATCATATTTATGATTATTTTAACAGTTAATAATTGTAAACTGATAGAAGGTATAGGAGTCTGATATATAGCGAGATGATGAAAAGAGGAAAATGAGGTGAGGATTTTGTTGAAACTGATGTAGTGTCGTGTTCTGAGATGGCTTAAAACCTGTATTGACACTGTACGTAGAGCTAAAGCGGGCTCCAAAACTCTATGACGGGCTCCAATCCTCTGCGAAGTATTAAAATAATCATAGAAAATGAAGAAAAAGGGAAAAGAAAGTGACGATTTGGTGAAACTGATGTTATAATTATGTCGTGTTGTGAGAAAAATGGGTACAGGGCCCTAAAATACTTCAAATCGCCAGGCTTGAAACTTTAATTGATCAACACAGCTTCTGATTATGATCATATCGGGCTCTAGTAATCATGATTCGATTTCTATCATATGAAAGGAAAAGAAAGAAATGATTTGATGTTAATTCATGTAAGCCTATATAGGCCTACGGTTTCGAAAGAGAGGGAGAGGATGATAGATACGAGAGAGAGAGAAAGAGAGAGAGAGAGAGAGAGAGAGAGGGGGGGGGAGGGAGGGAGGGAGAGAGAGAGAGAGAGAGGGAGGGAGAGAGAGAGAGGGAGAGAGGGGAGGGAGGGGAGAGAGAGAGAGAGAGAGAGAGAGAGAGAGAGAGAGAGGGAGAGAGAGAGAGAGGGAGAGAGAGAGAGAGAGAGAGAGAGAGAGAGAGAGAAGGGGTGGGGTGGGGGTATGTACGTGTAGCCTACGTACGTCGCCACTCGCCAGTCGTCTTCCAAACCAGGACTCTACTCCTCCTTCGGCTTCGAGTTGGATGGATGATGTCTGGACCCCAATTTCGGATTCAAGGGAGACAGGTTGGGTTTACTCTTTTGCCGATATTGGGGATAAGAAAAGCTCAAATGTTGGGCTTCATGATCAGGTCACTGATGATGCAGCTGGCGTAGCGCCGGTACTCTGCCACGCGGTACCTGCTGCTCATGACACATCGCAGCCGCAGGCAACGCTGATGACTGAAGATGAAGGAAGCAACATAGTCATGAAAGAAGCTGCGATCCATCCCAAACCAAATGGAAAGGATTCCGATGGTAAGTGTCAACATGCTGCAATGAAGGGCTAGTAACTGTACTTAGATCTAGTAGAACTCACCCTATTTAGTACTAGGTCTACTGGCCTAGTAGTAGTAGTACTACTACTAGTACTACTAGGCCAGTAGACTAGTAAACTGGTAAAAGTATCAGGCCTGCTAGTATAGTAGTAGTAGACTACTAGTAATTAGTATACATATGCCGGCCACATGGTACTATAGTAGTACCTACTTTAGGCTACTAGTGTTAGCTAGTTTACTATAGATCTAGATCTAGTACTAGTTATTAGAAAAGAGCGGGTGCGTCAGAAGCCTCAGGGTTTTTATGAGAACAAAATACGCATATGATTCAAGTGTATTTTTTTCTCATAAAAACCCTGAAGTTTTATTACTAGATACAGTTAATATTGAATTAAAGAAAGTTATTTTGTGGATTCATGCAAATAAGTTGTCCTTGAATCTTCAAAAGACAAACTATATGTTTTTTAGTAACTCCCTAAAGGATGTACCTGGAAATATATTTTTTGATGATGTTAACGTTGTGAGAGTAACTTCCACCAAGTTTCTTGGGCTACATATTGATGAGAAGCTGTCTTCAGGTCTTGGGAATCTCATTTGTACTAATATTTGTAAAGTCGTGTCTAGAAATACTGGTGTAATTTATAAATTGAGTTCTTTTGTCCCACAAGAAATTTTGCTTATTTTGTATTCTACTTTAATTTTGCCTTATCTCAATTATGGAGTGCTGGCATGGGGGAAGTCATTGAAAACACAATTAGATAAGATTTGTGTTGCCCAAAAGAGGGTGGTTAGAGTTGTTTTTAATGCGAGCTATCGTGCTCATACTAATGTTTTGTTCTACAGTAATAAGCTTTTGAAGGTTGAAGACATTTACTTTATACAGTTAGGCGCAATTATGTATGGTTTTGAAAATGGTACCCTCCCAAATGCGTTAGTACAAATATTTCGAAAGAACAATCAAATTCATAGCTATAATACAAGGCAGGCAACTGCACTTCATATTCCACGTGTAAGAACTGCTTTTGCTCTGAAGACGCTGGCTTGTACTGGTCCCAAATTTTGAAACTCACTTCCTATCAATGTAACTAGATCTGTCAGTGTCTTTGTTTTTAAACGCAAATTCAAAATACATTTATTGAGTAACTATATATGTTGACAATTAACGTAAAAATTATATCACCAGAAATGATATTAGGTAATAATTTGTCAATTGTTATTGATAACGTGCATTATCTTTTTGTTTTTGTTATGTTTGATTATTCAATATAAATGTCAGCATTTCACATTCTCTCTCTCTCCCCCCCCCCCCCTCCTCTCTTCTATTTTTCTTTTTCTTTACACCAAATACCTTTTTCCCCTATATACATATAACTTTCTTCTTTCTCTGTTTTTCTGGTTCCAGTTTGCTTTTTTCCTCTCGATTCCTTTGTATATATTTTCATCCTCTCCTTTTCAAATTTCAAGCTATCCCTTTTGTAAATATTTCCCCATATTTAATCATGTGTAGTTTTGATAACTTTGAAACATTTTTGTCTCGCCTGCGTAGCAAAAAGCGAGACATAGGCGCCGCTTTTCCGGTGACGGCGGCGGCGACGGCGACGGCGACGGCGTCAACATCAAAAACTTAACCTAAGGTTAAGTTTTTGAATTTTTGATATAATTTATAAAGTATAAGTTCTTAGTCAATGAAACTTTGACCATAGGGTAATCAAGTACCCCCAATCATGTGAGTAGAATTTCAGATCACAAAGTCAAGGTCAAATGTCATTTCAGGTCAACAGACTTGGACTATGTTGTAGCATCATCATCGAAAACTTAACCTAAGGTTAAGTTTTTGAATTTTTGATATAATTTTGAAAGTATAAGTTCTTAGTCAATGAAAATTAGACTATAGGGTTATCAAGTCTCCCCAATCATGTGAGTAGAATTTCAGGTCACTACGTTAAGGTCAAAGGTCATTTAAGGTCAACAAACTTTGACTTTGTTGTGGCACCGCATAAAGATGTTCAAAATGCTTCTTTTTCGTTATTTTTCAACCGATTTTGATTCTGATTGTTTCATATGATAGGGCTAGGAGGGGGATTTAAAATTTCTACACAGAATCGTGAAATTCATTATCTATGCTAATTTATGCAAATTTATTCGAAATCATAAAAAAGGCTTCTTCTCCTTCATTTCTTGACTGATTTTGATTTGGTTTGCTTTATATCGTAGAGCAACTTTGGTACACTAAACTTCTACACAGAATTTTGAAATTGTTTTCCATTAATTAATTATGCTAATTTATGCAAATTTATTCGAAATCACAAAAAAGGCTTCTTCTCCTTCATTTCTCGACCGATTTTGATTTGGTTTGCCTTATCTGGTAGAGCTAAATTTGGAACACTAAACTTCTACACAGAATTGTGAGATTTTGCTCTATTGATTATTTATGGTACTTTATGCAAATGAAATGAAATTACAGTATGTCCCTTCCAGGGCATCAAATTTTTATTTTTTGACCAGTTTAAAAGTGTACCACATAAAATTTACGATATTTGTTGTTGCGAGATGCGGATGAGCGCTACGTCATTGACGTTCTGGTTTATCATATTGAATTGCGTTATGCAGGCGAGACCGCCGAGAGCGTTTCCCTTGTTTAAAAGTGAAACATTGATGGATTATTTTATATGGGGACCTTGCTCTTCCAAGCCCAGCTTTCTAAGGTCTCCACTTTCTTTCATTTGGATTATATATCGACTTAAAATTGCACTTAAATTGTTTTTTCTTATGCTGTTTTTTGTTCTATTATTATATGTAAAAATGTTGTGAAAGAAAGAAATAAAATGAACCTTGAACCTTGAACCTAAGCAGTTAGAGATGGGGGGGGGGGGGGTGGACAGTTCAGGAGGATCATCTTTCAGGGGCAGTGGTGTTTGGGAGGCAGAAGAAAATATCACCACCACTCTGACTCTTACAATGTAACATATTATGCATTGATGCATGCCCTGCAGAGTATTATTTAACCATCGGGTGCTACTGTGGATAGCAAAGCATAAATTGGCGTGGGTTCCAGGGGCTCAAGGGGTGGAGCCCCCAGAAACTGAGGGGGTTTAGCGTTAAATTACAGTCAGATAAGCATGTTAAGATACCTTATTTTTGTCACTGGCAGGTCACTAGTAATTGGCTAGGGGTGCGGGGCGCTGAGCCCCATGAAGCTCATGGTTTTTCTGGCATTTAATTATGGTCGGAACATTCACTGATTGAAGAGCCCGTCTAAGGGGCCCCTGATGGAAACCAGGGGGCGGAGCGGGCCCGGAAGCTCGGGGGTTACAGGCATTAAATTAAGGTCAGATGAGCATATTTGACCGCTAAAAATGGCGGGTGGTCAAGGAGGCTGAGTCCCCTGAAGCTCAGTTCAGGGGTTTTAGGCATTTTTTTTACAGTCAGATGAGTATCAAGTGTCCTGCCTTAGGGGCTGTAGGGCTCTTGATGGGGTCGAGGGGGCAGAGCTCCCAGGAAGCTCATGGGTTTTAGATATTTAATTTTGGTCAGATGAGCATATTTTGATACCTGATTTGTGACACTGGCAGGTAATTAATTTCTTTCTTTCTCTTTCTTTCTTTTTCTCTCAAACATAATTTTGTTTTAAGTGGGGAAAGGGGGGGGGGGGGCTCGAGCCCCCAAGCCCTACCGTTCTGCAGGCCCTGACATGAAGGCTTTCAAATATGCTTTTTTTTTTGCTTGACGAAAAATTTGGAAATTTTTGATTTTCCAACAAACGCATACCATGCATGGTACCAAAGTATAAACTAGAAATGCAATCGTGTCACAACGATGTGCGTGTAATGACGCCATGTTTCTACGTGTCAAACGAAACAGCTTCTCTCAGACCATCCAAAGCAATTTGTACGAAGTCTGTAGCTTCTGTGATATTGGAGATAGGCATATAGGGCGAAAGAAAGGCCTCAACAGTGACCTTTGATGGGATGGTAGTGACTACGCCTACGAAGTTTGAAAGAAATTGGGATAGAGGAAAGAACCTAGGAAAGGCTTGCAAGCACTGCGTGCAAAAACCAATGGGATTTAGTGCATGTTCGTCATTGTAATAAAGATCGTTCCGGCGGCAAAAAGCGTGAACCTGATATGCCCCATGGGCGGAAAACGTACAGGATCTGTATTATGACCGGACTTTAATTTTTGTTTTTCTCTCTCTTTATGTCTTTTTATCGGACGTATTTGGTATCATTGGAAAGAGAATTTTATGGTTGTTATAGTAAACAACTCTCTTTTGTTCTATGATAATCCTGTCGAAACACGTGATTTTAAATAGATTTATAGGACAAAATGGCGTCTTAAATGCCTCCCTTGACCAATTTTAAAAATTCGGCCTCGAGGTGCCCTGCGTATCGCAACTCAGAATGTCACTGGAAAATTTTAAGGAAAGAAAAGGACGTTTAGGGGGCGAAAAGCAGTCTGAAAAAATGACGTCATAGCCGATACGTGTTATAATTGGGCGAAACTCGGCGGAATTTGTATAGTGACCCTTGTTCAAATGTGATTTACTCGAAATTTTCTGTGTGAACATATACCATACTTGGTATCATTCGAAAGGGCACTTCATTGCGGTCAGTTTGACACCAGTGACCATTGTCATCTGCGCATAACGTCAGCGCCTATAATGCACGCATTAAAGGCGCTATTACGTAATGCATAGCAAATTCATCATTTTTGGCGATAAATTTGCGCTGACGTTATTAAAATTTACCAAACTTGGCAGACGGTTGTCACGTATATGGATGGATACATGTGTCTGCCAAGTTTCATTGACGTACGTATAAGGATCGCCATTTTAGAGCAAGTTGAAGTTATTTCTCAATTTTCTTGAAAACTGCATATTTGGAGGGCATTTTTCGCAAAGTCGGTCAGTGTTGGGGTATATAATGTTGTATATGGCTGGAAAGGGCATATATTCAAGTATCTAAATCCAAAAAAGGGTACGGGTCTGCCAAACCATAATGGAGATACGGCCACAGAAAGAAAGCCAATTCCCAGAACTTTAGAGGGCGCTATTTATGTTTTGCATAGCCATTGGAGCGTGAAATTTGGCATGGCTATGTGCAATTATGAGATATAGATACTGTGAGATTTAAATACAAAATGGAATTTATATGAGAAAGTTATTGCAGTTTAAGATTATTTAGGGGTCAAATTTTCAAGAATTTGAGAGACTTTTGACGGAGTCAGTTTCAGATTTGAATTTTGAGTATGAAGATGGCATTTTGAAGGGCAGATTATATGTCGCAGATTAAAGAACATATCTTAGACTATCTAGAGGAATTTGTTAGAAATTTGTAGGATCTAGGATAGTGGAGATAGGAAGGAAGATAGAAAGGTCTTAAAGGTTCACTCAATTAGAATTTTCATTGCCCTATTTTTGTAAGAAGGAGACATCAGAATCCAAAAAATATCTGTCACACACTTTTTCATGCATTCATTCGTGTTTATTAATCATTTCAAAAATACATTTTTGCTGATTTACACAGTCATAAGCCCGCCCCTCAAAAAATCGCAATCGCAGCGACATCGTGATCACGTGATCTGACGTATGAAAAGTGAGGAAAACATGATCGGGGAACCGCGCGAGCATGTAATTCACCGTATCGACCATTGTCCCACTGCATAATAGTATTTTCGCGTGATTGATTCTTTACAATAACTTTCGATTTTTGGAGACAGTGTCATAATAATGCCAAATCGATGTATTGTTGCGGGTTGTAGCAAGACTCCGAAAGATGATGTTAGCCTACATAACTTTCCTAAAGATGAAAATCTAAGGAAAATATGGGTTGCAAAGGTGAAGCTCACGCGGGCAGAGTGGCAAGGGCCAAGTGAATGGAGCACAATTTGCAGTGATCACTTTGCCGTAGATGATTTTGAGAATCCTGGCCTTGTCAAAAATAGTGGGTTTTACACATCCAGAATACAAGTTGTAAAACAAAAATGATGGCATTTCACTTGGAAAGGGTTACCTTAATGATCAGCATAATACAGTTATTAATACTGCTTTTCTCATTATTCTTCAAAACTATATCATTTTCTATCGAATGGTTTGTCACATTGTATACCAAAGTGTATAAATCAATGAAAATCCTTTAGCATTCATGAAGATTAAAACAAATAAAGTTACTCCTTTTTAGTATACAGTCCACAGTTAATCCATGTGAACTTTGGTATTTTCGTACGTTTGTAAATTGTAATACCACTTTCAAATCATGTCAATGTGAACATATTTGCATAATTAAGATTTACCTTAATACATTTGATGCATTTATCTCTTTTCCTGTGTGAGTTTACACAAAAATAGACAACAGTTTTCAATCTTTTTAGTTGTATGAAAACAATGTAACAATATATTGTACTGAAATAAATAGCAAAAAAAAAACATATATAGATATATACTTTATACTTTCTTCGCGACTAAGAAGGGAGAGGTTCCAGAACTTCACCTTCGATCACAGGTCTTTACCACCCGTGTCCCTACATTGATGTGATCCAATGTTGAACTTGGTTGACAACTGAATGTCAACTGAGTCATTATTGTCTTAAAAAATTGAGTTCAGCCTTAATTTTCGTTTCTTCATCAGTTACATCTCAAAATCATCATACTTTTTAGGGCGTTGGGTGTTTCGCGATGAACGTTGTCGTCGAGGTGGAGTCTCCCCCCGTCCTGGGCTTCGAGGTGGAGCCTCCTCCCGTCCTGGGCTGCTTCGAGGTTCGGGAAATGCACGATGTGGAGTGCTCAACTGCTCATCGTGGTCAGTGGATGAGGCACCTTCATCGCCTGGGACGTTGCTTTCAGCACCCCCGGGAACCTCAGTGGTAGACTGGCCAGTATGGTCTGGTCTTATGTGCTGCCTGTTTCTTCGTAGGTAATTTCCCTCAGGGCTCTGGAGAATGTAGGAGCGCTGTCCCTCGGCCCTGGTATCTACTGTCGCAGGACACCACCGTCTGGACACTGGGTCGCGATACCTTACATCTTGCCCAAGGTAAAGCTCTGGCAAGTCAGCTCTTCTGGCATGTTTGTCAAAATAGAACTTTTGACTATTCTGTCTTTCCTGCAGCTGATTGTAGATGTCATCAGCATCTGGCTGTGTTCTCTGCAACTTGGCTGGGAGTGTAGTTCTCAACTGGCGATTCATGAGAACTTCAGCTGGACTTGGTAGTTTCTCTGATATGGGAGTTGTACGCCAAAGAAGTAGTGCTATCTGAATGTCTGAAGTCTTCTTCATGATACCCTTGATGGTTCTGATTTGTCTCTCTACAAATCCGTTGCCTTGTGGTCGTCTGGGGGACGATGTAGCATGTTCAAAACCCCATGATTCTGCAAACGACTTGAACTGGTAACTGGCATACTGGGGTCCATTGTCGCTCACCACCTTTGCTGGTATGCCATGCTCTGCAAACACTTGTTGCATCATAGTGATTACAGCACTGCTTGTTGCTTGGTCTGGTAACTGGCGAACCACTGGGTACTTGCTGTAGTAGTCCACCACAATTAACCATTGTTTGCCTTTGAGTTCGAACATGTCTGTTGCCACCGTGCTCCAGGGCATTGTGGGAATGTCGTGTGGCTGGAGTGGTTCTGGCGTTTGCGCTGGTTGATGTTCCTGGCATCTCACACATGACTGCACCACTCTGTCAATGTCTTTGTTCATGTTACTCCAGAACACCTTTCCTCTGGCCAGCAACTTGGTTTTTTGTTGGCCTAGGTGACTGGTATGGAGCTTTTCCAAGATGTCTGGTTGCATCTGCTTGGGAATGACCACTCTGTTTCCCTTGAGAATTATACCGTCGCTTACTGTTAACTCATCTCGGTAACTCCAGAACTTTCTCAACTCTGGTTGCACTTGCTTCACCGTATCAGGCCAGCCCGTCACAATAACTTCCATCAGTGCACTTAGGACTTTGTCTTGGCTTGTAGTGTGTTTCAGTTCATCTACTTTCCTTGACGAGAACTGCACCAGATCTACTCTCAGATCAAGTTCAACTGTTTCATTGTTGTGAGTGCTTGGTAATCGTGAGAGACTGTCTGCGAGCAGGTTGTCTAGTCCTGGACGGTGTGTGATCTGGAAGTTGTATCCCTGTAGTCGAATCAACATCCTTTGTAGCCTTGGAGGGGCTGCTGTGAGAGGTTTGTCCATAATCATCAGAAGTGGCTTATGGTCTGTGATCACATGGAATAGCCTGCCATAGAGATATGTGTGAAAACGTTCTACTCCGAACACAATAGCAAGCAGCTCTCGTTCAATACACGAATAGCGTGTTTCAGTTGAAGATAGGGCTTTGCTTGCGTAAGCTACTGGGCGGAGTCTACCTTCCTGGTCATGCTGTAGGAGTGCAACTCCTAACCCTTGAAGACTTGCATCGCACTGCAAATACACTGGGGATGTTGTGTCGAAGAACTGGAGTAGTGACTTCTCTGAAACTTCTTGCTTGAGTTTCTCCATGGCTGCTTGATGATGTGGTTCCCAGATGAAATCAGCCTCTTTCTTAAGGAGATCTCTCAGAACTGCAGTCTTTGTGCTGAAATCTGGGATGAAGTGAGACAGGTAAGTAATGAAACCTAGGAAATGCTGCAACTCAGCCTTGGTGCTCGGAGTCGGCATTCCTGCGAGGTCAGCTACCTTCTGGGGATCTGGCTGGATACCATCCTTTGAGTATCGATTACCAAAGAAGTTGATACTCGTTTGCCTGATATGGCACTTGTTTGAGTTCAGTGTGAGGCCTCTCTTTGCTGCTACTTGCATGAAGTTGAGAAGGTTGCGGTCATGCTCTTCTACTGTACGCCCAAAGATTACAATATCATCTGCTATGCATTCTGCCCCTGTACAGCCTTCTAGAACTCTGTCCATCTCCAACTGGAAAATGTCCTGACTTACACTGAGTCCAAATGGTAGGCGACAGAAGACATATCTTCCAAAAGGTGTCTGGAATGTGGTAAGTCTTTGGCTGGCCTCATCTAACTTAACTGACCAGTAGCCGCACTTTGCATCTAACTTGGAGAAGTGCTGCATGTTGTGAAACTTGTGATTCAACTCCTCCAAGGTCTGCTGTTTGTAGTGAGGTCTGATAAGTGCCTTGTTCAATCTGCGAGGGTCTAAGCAAATGCGAATGCTTCCATCCTTCTTGGTGACATATGTGATTGAGTTCACCCATTCGGTTGGTTCAATGATTTGCTTGATCACACCCTGGCTCTCCATACTGTCCAGTTCTGCCTTGACTTTGTCTTTCAAGGCAATAGGCATCTTTCTAGGAGCGTCGACATGACTTGGAACGTTGGGGTCAACTGTCAAGTGATGTGTGGTACGAAATTCTCCAATCCTATCGAACTGCTGTGGAAAGAGTTGTACTAGAGCCTGGACACCACTGACTTGTGTTGCAATGTTCAAAGAGCAATGGAGAGTAACAAGTCCAAACTCTACAGATGACTGGAGACCAAGTATCACTGGGCCGTTGGACTGAACTACGTAAAATAAGGTATCAGTCCATGCTGTGTCTCCATACTTGCAGGAAATAACAACTGTTCCATACTGACCAATCAGCGTTTCATTGTAAGCTGAAAGGATTGTGCCTGCATCTGGTAGATTTCGTGGAAAACCTTGACGATCAAGCTGCTCTGGATACATGTTTCTGAAAGTTCGAAGTGGCAGTGTATTCGCTTCTGCTCCTGTATCCACCTTTACTTTCAGGTCATGGACACCTGGTTTGTCGTCCAATTTGATGTCCAAGTGTGCAATAGCTTCATTCCTCTTCACAGAGTCAATGATAATCGTGTCAAAATGAAAACTGTCAAATCGTTGTGGTAATGTACCCAGTTCACTTTCAGATTCGGTGTGTTCCTCTCGCACGTTATCCACCTGTTTGGAACGTCGTGATGGGTGTTGGCGTTCATCCACCCCCCTCTTCTTCCGGGAAGAAGCATAAGACTTATGATATTTCTGTGGTTGTTTGAGCTTGGTCGATAAGCACAATTGAGCATAATGTCCTTGCTTATTGCACGAGAAACATGTAACACTCGCTGCTGGACAATACTCCTTGCCGAATCTATGTTGTCTCCCACAGTTCTTACATAAACTCTTAGGTTGTTTCTGCTGTTGCACTGCATCTATGCTCTGTGTTGGATGATACAGAGACTGGAGGGTTTGGACATGTGACTCTGATGCTTCATATGTCCTTCCCAGCTGTAGAGCACCCTGTAGTGTAAAGTCCTTCTTCGTAGTAAGTAGGTCCTTCCGGAAATCTGCGATGGGTGTGCTTACAATAATCTGTTCAAGGATTCGCTCATCTAGCTCCTTGTGATCAAATTCGCATTTACGAGCTATCTGTCGACATCTGTTTATGAAATCGTCCAACTTTTCATCTGGCCTCTGCATTGTTCTTGACAACTTCAGCCGACATACTCGAAAATTGTCTTGAGGTTCTAGTTGCTCCTCAAAACGGTCTAGGATGATCTTTGCTGTTTGTTCAGACTCCGATAATGTCCAACAATTGTATCGCTGAAGGCCCTCTTCACCCGCAGCAAGTAGAATGATAGGAACTTCATCCTCTTTAGGTGTGTGCTTAGCCAAAAAGTATAGGCTCAATCTTTGTCTGAACATACGAAAAGCTTCAGCAAGGTTTGGTGCACCCCAATCCATTCGTGGAATATGATCAGCCATGTTAATGTTACTTCAATGCTGTGCTTCAGAAAAAGGAACAAAATGCTGGAATGTGTCGCCACTAACCCTCAGGCATCAAACAAACTAACTGTTCATGGAATAATGGTGTCTACAAATTCCTGTGTGTTTCTCCTGAACAAGGAAAAATCCAAAATGGCTGCTGCTGTGTTGCAAAATCCAAGATGGCTGCTGATGTGTAGCACATGGTACTGTACTGGTAGACTGGCACAAAAAACTGGCATGTTGGTGACTTGCACTCACCGCTTGCCACCATGTCAAAAATAGTGGGTTTGTTATGTTGACTTCTTGGTTAGTACTTTACTAAATGTAGCTGGGTCAAGAAAGTAATAAAGCTCCACATATCTTTGCTTGAGGTTCAGGAGTTTATTGGTGTAACTAAAACATGATGCTTATGCTGTGCATGCTAGTGGTCAAGTGCAACTTACCACTCTCACATGTCCAGTACATAAGGCAGTGTATGAGGGTTGAATGTGTGCATGGCTAATTACTCATTAAATACATCACACACTCTGTGTGCCAAGAGTACTGTATTGAAGAGTGCTTTCTGCATGGTTGCTTCTGAATGAATGTGCATGGCTGTTTAACAATGAGCACATACAGGTGTAAGTTATATTCAAATTAGGAGTTCTGCATAACTTCAGCCTGTATTCCGAATTTGGCATGAAGAAAAGGAGAAGCAAGCTTAAAGATTCGGCTATTCCAACGATCAGATTTGGAGTGAAGTCTTCCAAGAAGCAAGATTTACCAACACGACCGGCTGCAGTGAAGAGAGAAAGAAAAAGGGTAAGTTGAAGAAAAAAAAAATCGCTTTCGTTTTGTGCCTGAGTCTGAGTGAGCTCAGCTGAGCTGACTTGCGTATTTGACCGCCATATCCTGCTCCGGGCCGGGTTGGGAATTGGGCGGGGAGAGTTGCCGGGCCGGACGCGGACGCTGTGGGGTACGGTTCTTCTTCGTCTTGATCAATCATGTTGATGGTACTTTTCAACCCCCCATCACATGCCGGTTATGTCTTTGCCCCCGCATCTCTTGCATCATAATCCGTGTTCATTGATGGAGTTAATTTTTGTCTCGCCTGCGTAGCAAAAAAGCGAGACATAGGCGCCGCTTTTCCGGTGACGGCGGCGGGGACGGCGATGGCGGCGGCGGCGATGGCGATGGCGGCGGCGGCGTCAACATCAAAAACTTAACCTCAGGTTAAGTTTTTGAATTTTTGATATAATTTTGAAAGTATAAGTTCTTAGTCAATGAAACTTGGACTATAGGGTTATCAAGTATCCCCAATCATGTGAGTAGAATTTCAGGTCACAAAGTCAAGGTCAAAGGTCATTTCAGGTCAACAGACTTGGACTATGTTGTGGCATCATCATCGAAAACTTAACCTAAGGTTAAGTTTTTGAATTTTTGATATAATTTTGATCGTTTAAGTTCTTAGTCAATGAAACTTGGACTATAGGGTTATCAAGTATCCCCAATCATGTGAGTAGTATTTCAGGTCACTAAGTTAAGGTCAAAGGTCATTTTAGGTCAACAAACTTAGACTTTGTTGTGGCATCAACATCAAGATTTTGAATTTTTTAGCATATTTTCAAAATTGATTGTTCAATTTCCATGAAACTTGTACCCAAGGGTTATCAAGTATCACAAATAATATGACACAAATTGCAGGTCACAAGGTCAAAGGTCAGTAGACTTGGATTATGTTTTCACAACTTAATATGAGAATTAATAATTTTTTTAATTAATTTGTTCATATATTTCATTCAAGTTATCGATCGTGGTACATTTAATAGTAAATAATTCTTCTGATGATTCTTAGGCAATATTCACTTCAAAATGTGATTATATTTAGAGGATTTCATTTTGGGGGGCCTGCTAATGGGCCACCCTGCCTATGCATAATGTTCCAACCTCAGTTTGTCATCATATCGAATTGCGTAATGCAGGCGAGACCGCCGAGAGCGTTTCCCTTATTTTTAAAGAAGTGTAGAACTAGTCCTAGATCTAGATATCTAGAGATCATTCATTGGTAGCCAGGTCAATTTTTTTTCTTTGACAAGGCATCATTGTAATGTGTTAGATCTTTCTTTTTGGTATGGTATAATTATAGTAATCTGGATGATAATAATAATGATAATAGTTATAATGATAATAATGATGTTAATAATAGGATAAGTATAATGAATATTCAATTTCAATTAAAATTTATCTGTATACAATTCACAATTCATTCAGCTAAGAAGAAAAAAATGCTTAAAAATGATGATGCATTCAGTACATTCTACTCTAAGTAGAGGTTGTGACAGTTCTCACTTTTCAAATTCCTTTTGATATGTTTCAGGGGTCCGTACATCTGATGGATATGTAGCAGCAACCCGAGACTGTCGTAGGGCCTTCCCAATCTTCTGGTACCCAGAGATCTGTAGCTACCAGAGTAAAACATAAGTTTGAATTCAATGATATTTCCAGTAGACAGAGCAGTCTTTCCAGTAGAATTAAATGTATGACTTAGAACTTTAAGTGTATAAGTTTAGTATTTTTCATTTTGTTTGATAACCAAGCTGGAATTAGCTAAGCCTATACATTTTAATATACTGTAGTCAAAGCAGTAAAATCAGGTCACGATCTTAATTGTTTTTGCCATAGGAAAAATTCCAACTAAATGTGGGTTGCTTTGGAATGAAATTATAATGTTTGAGACCAGCATGGACTATAAATGAGACTGAAATAATTTTGGAGTATATTGATAAATCAGTGAAAATGTGTTATTTTTTATATTTTTTTTTGCAGGTATCCAGACCTTGTCATTTCACATGTGCGATAGAGGTACACAGTATTTTGCACCAGAAATGACTGATCCAGAAAGGACCAAAGGGACAATGTGCAACATTCCACAGGAAGAGAAGGTGAAGGAGCAGGAAATGATGGAAGTAGAGGAAGTGGAGGATGGAAAGCAGGAAGAAGAGGAGATATCGTCAGATGATAAACATGAAACCTCAGACTACCTCCCCAAATCTTCAGAGTCGTCTTCGGACTACCAGAGCACACCCCAGAAACCTCGCAAAAAGCTGTGCAAAACGTAAGTGTGTTTTTATTACATTCTATTTGTGTTTTCACATTAAATGCAAAGCAGAAACAGTCTATTCAATTTAGCCCATTTTCAGCGATGGTATCACACATCTCTCCAACTTAATTTTTAATTCTTAATGATATATAAAAGTGGAGAACATAACTTAGTTCAATATTACTGTTTTCAAATTTTATATGTTTTCTTGTCATTTCAGCCGTGTTGGAAGATCTCCTGCAGTGGCAGTGGAACCAGGTATGGTTGTTCCTCCTCATGAAGAAAAGAAGTATATCGTGTTCGAGGGAAAGCAATATCGTGTTCAGGCAACGTTAGCGTTAGGAAGAGAGAGATGGGGACCATGGTCATTGTGAACGCCGAATGCTACTCTTGCGGCAAGATGTGGAAGTGGGAAAGCCAGCCCTACTTTCACAGAACACCTGCAGGAAACGTGCTGCTTTCTGCATCAACCCTATTTGCGGGAGGGAGCTGGAAGAAGGTTGAACGGATACTAGGCAACCTTCGGGTAGCCTGCATCTCAGAGCAGACTTTTTATGGGATTCAAAGAACCATCCTCCAGCCAGTCATCGAAAAGAAGTGGGTACAGGACCAACAGAAGGTGGTCCAACAACTGGTCGCAGCTGCAACTCCCCTTACACTTGCTGGTGATGGACGGGCAGACAGCCCAGGGCACTCTGCAAAATATGGAGTGTATACAGGACTGGAAGTCAAAATCAACAAGATTGTCGACCTTGAGTTGGTTCAGGTATTGCAACTTATTTATATCATTTAATTTCACTCATACATGCATATTTTCATTTATTTTGCTAGAATAACTGTTTTAAAAATGTCATTGCGTATTAAAGGAATAACACAACATAAATGTATTCCCATGGCATGCAATTAATTGAAATGGTGACCACAGCTTTAAACTGTTCTTTTCTTCATACAGGGTGGTCCCTGAAAATAGAACAATTGATTTCCAGTCTTTATGATGAAATGAAAAATGACCTACTAAAATTAGAAATCTTGAAATTTGTTCAGATAATGTTTTCTGTTTTTTTTATTGTGAATTATTCATATTTCTGAAATACCAGTATGACAAAAAGCTACTGTCTTTTATGGGTCACCTTGTATAGGTGTAATGTATTCATAAGTTATCAATTCTGCTGTATGATAACCATTGTTCTTCTTATTTCAGAGTAATGAGGTCAAGTCCAGCTACCATATGGAGCTAGAGGGGTTCAAAAGGCTCCAGGCATTTCTAGCCAGCAACGGACTAGATATTGGGAAGCTCATCACTGACAGACATCTGCAGCTTGCCAAGTACGTGAGGGAAAACTCACCAACCATCCTACACACCTATGATGTCTGGCATTTAGCGAAAAGTACGTTGTTGTATGTTTTTTCAGGTCTTTAAACTCTGAAAACAAGAAGAGGCTTTGAAAGCATACAAGTATGGGTTGTTTTAAAAATCTCATATGTATTGGTACCACAAACTTAATTTGATAAGTCTTGTTTTGTTTCTATCAACAGGTGTCCAGAAAAAGATCCATGCTCTTGCCAAACAGAAGAGTTTTGAAGATCTGCTAGTCTGGGAGAGAAGTATAACAAACCATGTGTACTGGGTGGCATCATCAACAAAGGATGAGGAAGGTGACCCCCGGGAAGCAAAGTGGACTTCTCTTGTCAACCATATCCAGGGGATCCACGAGGGACACTCAGAACTCTTTCCAAGATGTCTTCATGGGGATCTCCAAGGAGAAAGACCAAAGAAATGGCTCAAGACAGGTAAAAGCTATGTCACTTTTGAGTCATATTTATGGAGCATGTTCTAATTTTAACCAAAATGTTCTTGAGTGTACAGTTTATAATGTCAATAAAAAAGGGAGCTTTATATACAGAGCTGTACTATTTTTAACTATTGTTCTTTGAATAAAACATTATATTACTTTTTTCTCATCTAGGTACCATCGTTACTGAGAAGCTTGATGACGAAGCTAGTGAAGGACATCAAGAAGATGTCATCTGGAAAACAAACTTCATCCTTGGAATCCTTTCACGCCGTGATCAGTTTGCACCAAAGATGAGGTCGTACAAGTATCATGGAATGCTGAGCAGGTAAGTCCAAATTGCATTTTGCACACTCAACATGTAAAACAATTCATTATTGTTATTATGTCATAAAAGGAGGGTTTTACTTCATTTAATTTAACCCTTCTGTCAGGACATAAGCCATAAAACTGCAAAAGTGTACAGAATAAACAAAAATTACAATACCTGCCCCTATCTTTATTTGTGCATAAGTCAATTTTATTGGAACTAATGAAATGTCAATGAATTAGACAACCTTCTATTTACATGGGTAAAATCAAGAGGGGGATGCTTTGAAATTGAGAATCCTGGAACTTGCATGTATGCAATGTTTTTCGATTTACGCGAGGTCAAATTAGGCAGTGGTGACTACAATTTTGAAGGAAAAAGCTCTGAGTGTTAAAGAAAGACCATTTCAGTATATTACTAGTATTATTGTCAGTAGTACTTATTATTAAATCATTTATCATTCTTGTTCATATTATGTCCACTTAGAAATACATAGATTAAAGGATATTTTTTTTTCTTTTTCACCAGGCTTCATTTGGCAGCATTACATTACAATGCAAACAGTGACCGCAAACAAGCAACCACAAAGAAAGGGGAGAAGCGCTATGCCATCAGCAAGCCGAAGTACAAACCAGGAGCTGCTTCTGTCAAAGAACCACGCATCCACTGTAAGTCAGTGCAAAGATTCAAATTAAATTAGACATATAATACTTGTTTGGAACAAGTATAGGTGGGCTGGTCAACTAACATTTGAGACAAAATAGAGCAAAAATAAGCGACATACTGCTTACAAATTCTTAAAAGACAATATCATGTAGATTCATAACGTGAACTAAATTCACCTTCTATAGGCATAACACGCAAATTATGAAGTTTTTGACATGAGGCCTTTAATCAAAATTTTCACTATGATGACGTCATCAAAATGAAAAATGGTTATTACTGCGCTTGTAGAGAATTGTCTTAGCTACAACATATCGAAATTTTGAAGAAAATTGATCAATATTTACAGAGATACAATCAATTTTACATAAATATGCTGACGTCATAATATGCAAATTCATATTTTGAGTTCCAAGGCCATTGTGATGATGTCACGATACACTTAATGGCCAAATGAGACATGGAATCATATTTCCAACTCATACTCTATCTTAATATGAAAAAAAATTGAGGATCCTGGTGCATTCCAAAGAGCTATAACGGATTTTGTATAGGCATGTTTTTGCCCATATATGCTATGTATTAAAAGACCTCGCGCGCACTGACATTTATCTTGAATTTACGCTCATCTTGTTAATAATGGTCATTAAGAGATAAACATGGAATCAAATTCCTTGAAAAAATATGAGAAATATCATGAAAGAAAAAAAAATGGCGATTCTATGTTTTTTAATGGTGTTACGCTCGAAAACGCGCGCGCATGCTCGTACGCGCGATTTTTTTTATAAAATGCTAAAAATGACCTGAAACGTATGCAAAATAAATTTGAGACGATTTTGAGCATTTAAAAATTTTGCGCGCGCATTGACGCGCGGACGTACGCGCACGCGCGCGTTTTTTGACCTGAAATTGACTGGACTGATATTGACCTTGATCATAATAAATATGAATGAGAAATACCTTTTGGTTATGAAGATATGATCATGAGTTTTTTTTCAGAAAATTGCACAAAATGGCGCCTAGATAACGTTTTCAGTCAAGGTCAAGGTTGAAAACCTTACTGTGCTCTTTCCTCATGCCAATAAATATGTGTGCCAAATTTCAAAGCATTTGATTGAATAATTTCAAAGATATCTTGCTAACTAAAAGTGGGTCGAAATAAGAAAAATAAATAATAAACTAGACATAATACTTGTTTGGAACAAGTATAGGTGGGCTGGTCAACTAAAATTTGAGACAAAATAGAGCAAAAATAAGCGAGATACTGCTAAAAAACAATGTCATTGATGTAATGATGTAAACGAAATTCACCTTCCATAGGCATAACACGCAACTTCAGAAATTTCTGATATGTGCCCTTTAATCGAAATTTTTACTCTGATGACGTCATCAAAATGAAAAATGATTATTATTAAACTTGTAGAGAATTATCTTAGCTACAACATATCGAAATTTTGAAGAAAATCGATCAATATATACAGAGATACAATCAATTTTACATAAATATGCTGACTTCATAATATGCAAATTCGTATTTTGAGTTCCAAGGCCATTATGATGATGTCACGATACACTTAATGGCCAAATGAGACTTGGAATCATATTTCCGACTCATACTCTATTTAAAAATAAAAAAACATTGAAGGTCACGATTCATTCCAAAGAGCTATAATGGATTTTGTATAGGCATGTTTTTGCCCATATATGCTATGTAATAAAAGAGCTCGCACGCACGGACATTTATCTTGAATTGACGCTCATCTTGTTATTAATGGTCATAAGGAGATAAACATGGTATCAAATTCCTCGAAAAAATATGAGAAATATCATGAAAGAAAAAAAAATGGCGATTCTATGTTGTGTAATGGTGTTACGCGCGAAAATGCGCGCGCATGCTCGTACGCGCGATTGTTAATAAAATGCTTAAAATGACCTGAAACGTATGCAAAATTAATTTGAGACGATTTTGAGCATTTAAAATTTTTGCGCGCGCACTGACGCGCGGACGTACGCGCACGCGCGTGTTTTTGGACATGAAATTGACCGGACTGATATTGACCTTGATCATGATAAATATGAATGATAAATACCTTTTGGTTATGAAGATATGATCATGAGATGATTTTCAGAAAATTTCACAAAATGGCGCCTAGATGACGTCATCAGTCAAGGTCAAGGTTGAAAACCTTACCGTGTCTTGTCCATATGCCTATACATATGTGTGCCAAATATCAAAGCATTTGATTGAACCATTTCAAAGTTATCTTGCTAACAAAAAAGTGGGTGAAAATAAGAAAAATAAATAATAAACTAGATTTGTAATACTTGTTTGGAACAAGTATAGGTGGGCTGATCCATCAAAAAATTGAGAGAAAATAAAGGGTTCATTTGAGATAGCTTTTCGTCTCAGCTACAACATACTCGAAGTTCAGCGAAAACGAAACTAAAACAACGTAGATATTGCTCGCGAAAGATGGGAATGTAGAATCAAGTTTTGAGAAAAAATCATGTCCCATAGAAAATACACGCAAAATGTGAAAAAGTGACTGATGCCTTTATCAAAATGATGAATGATTGAAACTGCATTTGTAGAAAATTGTCTCAGCTAGAACATTTGGAAGAAAATCGATCAATATTTACAGAGATACAATCAATTTTCCATAAATATGCTGACTTCATAATATGCAAATTCGTATTTTGAGTTCCAAGGCCAATATGATGATGTCACGATACACTTAATGGCCAAATGAGAAATGAAATCATATCTCCGACTTATAATTTATCAGGATATTAAAAACAAATTGGGGTCACCTTGCATCCTAAAGAGCCACAATGGATTTTGTATAGGCATGTTTTTGCCCATATATGCTATGTATTACAAGAGCTCGCGCGCACAGAAATTTATGTTAAACGGTTGATCATTCCGTTATTAATAGTCATAAAGAAATAAACTTTGTATCAATTCGTTTGTAAAAATAGGTGCAATATTATTAAAGAAAAAAATGGCGATTCTATGTTGTGTAATAGTTTTACGCGCGAAAACGCGCGCGCATGCGCGCGTGCGCGATTTTTTATAAAATGCTTAGAATGGCCTAAAACGTATGCAAAATGATTTTGAGACGATTTTGAGCATTTCAAAATTTTGCGCGCGCATTGACGCGCGGACATACGCGCACGCGCGCGTTATTTGACCTCAAATTGACCGGACGGATATTGACCTTGATCATGATAAATATGAATGAGAAATGCCTTTTGGTTATGAAGAGGTGTCGTGGTCGAGTGGATAAGTCACCGGACTGTGGATCACAAGGTCCGCGGTTCAAGTCCCGCCGCGGCACTAATGTCCTTTGGCAAGACATTGATCTACATTTGCCACTCTCCACCCAGGTGTTAAAATGGGTACCCGGTAGGATGCGAAAGCTAATGTGGTTTGATTAGCATGTGGCGCTTGTAAAATGGCGACTGGCTGGAATGCTCCCCAGGGAGTGGAGAATGTGCATACCTTGTGTGCGGGTAAGCCTGAATCCGATGACCGGGGTAATAATAATAATTTGTAAAGCGCTGTGATACACATGTATGTCTGTAAGAGCGCTATATAAATGCCAATATTATTATTATTATTATTAAGATATGATCATGAGTTGATTTTCGTAAAATTTTACAAAATGGCGCCTAGATGACGTCATCAGTGAAGGTCAACGTTGAAAACGTTATTGTGCTTTGTACATATGCCTATACATATGTGTGCCAAATTTCAAGGCATTTGATTGAGCCATTTCCAAGTTATCTTGAAAAAGTGGTTAGAAATAAGAAAAATATATAATAATAAATAAATAAATAAATAAAGGCAATTCTAACGAAATTATAAGGTGGTCTGTACGTTATACAGCCCACCTGATAAATAAATAAATAATAAAGGCAATTTTAACAAAAATATAAGGTGGTCTGTATTAGATACAGCCCACCTGATAATAAAGGCGATTTTAACAAAAATATAAGGTGGTCTGTATTAGATACAGCCCACCTGATAATTTTGTCTGTGTGAATTTATGTCATCTTCCAAGAAGATGGTAGAAATTACAAGCATGGCCATAAGAGCAATAATAGGAAAAAGCTTTGTTGATGTTGGAGCAAGAAATCAGGGAAATGATTACTGATAAATAATTACCAGTGTTTGGACACAAGCACTCAAGTGCATAGCAAAATGTGTGATTTTTCCTTTTATTTTCTTCTTCTGTCTTTAGCCTATGTTGTGGAACTCATGGCTGACATTTCCGAATATGAGAGCGATGCATCACCACTTCCAAGGCAGCCGTCTCCACCACCACTGACCAGTAGCCATGTCTATCCATCCAGAGAGGAGATCATTCAACGGCATCGCAGCAGATTTTCTCTTGACCAATAATTGCTTTGTGTTCCTTTGTGAATAACTATTCGCTGAATCCACTAGCACAAAGTTTACATGTCATACTGATCACAACTGCTCAAAAAGGGTCATACTTAGTAGGGCTGTGCACAACAGTGTAATGAGGTACCCGAGTACATTCCTAGGCTCACAGGCGAATACCTGAATATTCGGACGCCATTTTTTTATGCCTCCGCCACCGAAGGTGGTGCCGGAGGCATCATGTTTTCGGGTTGTCCGTCCGTACGTCCGTCCCGTTTGACCGTTATCACAATATCTCAAGAACCATTTAAGATTTAAACTTAAGACTCTGGAATAGTATTTATCACCATAGGAAGACGATCTGATTAGATTTTGGAGCACGTATGTCAAAGGTCAAGGGTCACAGAGGTCAACTTATGAAATTCCATACATTGAGATTGTTATCATGATATCTCAAGAACCACTGGAGATTTAAACTTCAAACTTAGTGATAGTGTGTATCACTATAGGAAAACAATCTGATTACATTTTGGAGCTCGTAGGTCAAAGGTCAAGGGTCATAGAGGTCAACTTATGAAATTCCATACATTGAGATTGTTATCATGATATCTCAAGAACCACTGGAGATGTAAAAACTTCAAACTTAACGATAGTATGTATCACCATAGGAAGACGATCTGATTAGATTTTGGAGCACGTAGGTCAAAGGTCAAGGGTCACAGAGGTCAACTTATGAAATTCCATACATTGAGATTGTTATCATAATATCTCAAGAACCACTGGAGATTTAAACTTCAAACTTAATGATAGTGTGTATCACCATAGGAAGACAATCTGATTAGATTTTGGAGCACGTAGGTCAAAGGTCAAGGGTCACAGAGGTCAACTTATGAAATTCCATACATTGAGATCGTTATCGCGATATCTCAAGAACCACTGGAGAATTTTCACTTCAAACTTAATGATAGTATGTATCACCATATCATAATATCTCAAGAACCACTGGAGATTTAAACTTCAAACTTAATGATAGTGTGTATCACCATAGGAAGACAATCTGATTAGATTTTGGAGCACGTAGGTCAAAGGTCAAGGGTCACAGAGGTCAACTTATGAAATTCCATACATTGAGATTGTTATCATGATATCTCAAGAACCACTGGAGATTTAAACTCCAAACTTGTTTAAATTGCTCTATGGTGGAGGCATCATTTTCGACTGCGCGCAGTCAAAATTCCATCTAGTTTTATAATTTTTTGAATTTTTTTGAGTTTTTTTGAGTTTTTTTTTTTTTTTTTATTTTTTTTTTATTTTTTTGCCACTACCATACCACTCGGCAGTTTCTCAGGTCCCTCGCTGAAAACGCATGCAACTTTATTTTGAGTTGCAGTTGAAGGCGCCGATTTAATAAGAATAATAACAGTAAACAATGCTGTTTTAAAAACCAAAGATGGCAGAATAATCCATTTTCCTCCAAGTCCAAACAGAAATCTGGACATTTGGTCCCAGTTTCTGAAAGGTGAGTTTGACAGTGCTTGAGTTGGGAAACATTTTTACCGACGGTACTATGCCAGCGGACGCCGCTCTCCCTGGCACGGGTAAGCGTGGGCCTGGACATTTTTTTTTTTTTTGCGGCCGAATATTCGGGTACGAAAAATCGTACCCGAGTAGTTGTCAACCGTGCGGGTACTCGAGCATTCGACTACCCGTCGCAGCCTTAATACTTAGTGTGTCCTACAACAAAAGCTTTCCCATGAAATTTGACGATTTAAGGCGGAGTTTCCTCAGAAAGAGTTGCTCTTTAGACTGATGTCAACTAATCAGCCAATGTTTCATGGCAAGTAAGGACCATTTCATAAACCTTGTTATCAAGGAAAAGTTACAATAATTGTTACAATCTACTGAAATCCTTGAATCTGATTGGCTGAGAGCAAATTTGTCATAGAAACACATAAAAGACATGTTGATGACCCCCCCCCCCCCCCCCCCCCCCCCCCGATGCTCATCCACTTTTTGTTTGTTTGGGGGGCTGTACGAAAAATAAACTGTATTATTACCCGTATCAGTCATTTACAAAATTCTATTGCCCTAGTTTTCATTAGCAGTGGGAACGGAAGGGTATATTCTTTGTATTTTCCTTGGTCTCCCTGCCCGTATAGACTTTGCGTGTAGAGACCAGTGAAAATAAAGTCTCGTATTGACCGCGCCATATTTTGTCATTTTTATTACGCATCTTTTATGCGTATGAGAACCTGTGCACTTTGCGCGCACTCTTTTGTGACGTAATAATCAAATCAAAGGCTCACTGTTATCAGTGTATCAAAAAATTTGTCAAGCACTGGATGAACAGTGCTTTTTTTTTCTCCAGTTCTTTGAGATTGTCATGATTGATTTATGTATTTGATCTAGATGTCTGATTTGGATAACAATAAAAATATTGACTTGCTTAACTTTCGAGAGATACCACATATATTACCCTCACAAGATCCATATTGCCCTCGTCTTTGACTTGGGACAATACAAGTCTTGTTTGGGCAATATATGTGGTATCTCCCTCAAGGCCAGTCAATATTATATAAATGCATTATATTTGGCAACTCCCAAGTTTGGCTGCACTAGTAAAGATTGCTGTCAATCCCATTCAACTTCCTCTCATCCATGCCTTACTAAATATTCGATGTTTGTTGTTATTCTACTAATAAATGTTTGTACTTTTGTTATTTTATTTGAATAGATCTTGTTGACTTTCTCTTTTATATGCCGTGATGTGATTGTGTGTGAGTCGGGGAATTACGAGAGAACAACGCAAAAAATCACTTTAGTGGCTGTCAGCCTCACAAGCATAATTTGTCAAGTGCAGCAGGCCAAACGAAGCGCAGAGTGGGAGATGCATAGACCTTTACTTCAATAATTGTTAAAGTTTTAAGTAGAAATTTATAATGAAAAGAAGGAGCTGTGGAAAGAAAAAAAAGAAGTAATCTTGGGGTTGGTGTGAGTGTGTCAGAGTTGGGCATTTTACATACTGTATTTTTACCGTACATCAAATTCATCCATACATGTACATGTTTTCTCAAATAATGCTTATAATGTCTCAAACTTTCACCATGTCTATAATTCACAACTTTTTGTGCAGGTAAACCTCAAGTTGCACACCTGTCAACATACACAATCACCATAATAATACAGTACATACAAGCATACCACACACCCACCTTTAACTTTAACTTTAACTTTTTTTACGTGTATGTTTTGAAGGAAATGGATGACCCAAAAAAGCTGACCTCCCCCCCCCCCCCCCCACAAAAAAAAAAAAAAAAAAAATATCGACGAGAGAAAGAGAAAAGTAAACTAGTTGTGCCTGTGAGGTGTTTCTGAGTTTATTTTGCCACTCAAACAATTACCTGATGAAGTGAAAATACATGTCTGTACAAGAAAGCATATTGGAATAAAAGTTCGAGAAGAAATTTTGTATTGTTTTTATGCCAGAATAATTATCATGTTTATGCTCATCCCCATAAATTTACTCACATATGTTAATCTTACAGGATGGAATTGAGATATCGCTAATGTAAAAAAGAAATGTAACTTTTTTTCTGTGATAAATTCATCTTACAACATGGAATTGGGTTACTGTAAACAAAAACAAAAATTTTTCATTTTTATTAGACAAATAATGAAACCCAATACATTTTCAACAAAGAACCCATCTTATTATTGGCCCATGAAACTGAGTTACTGTAAACATGAAATAGAAAATCAAAATTACAGAGAGCGCCAAACCTCATCTGACAACTTTTATTGAAAAGTATTTTAAAAAATGAACATAATTTAAAACAAATATTCCAGACAATCCAAAGCCCCATAAATTTACAAAGAAAAATCCATCTGAATATCGGCTCATGAAATTGAGTAACTGTTAACATAAAATGAGATAATTTAATTTATTTTATTGCCCAAGTTACTGAGAGGGCAAAACCTTATAAAATTACAAATAAGAATTCCTTTCACTCAATGAAAATTGAGTCCTTGTAAACACAAATGATTTCCTTCAACCAAAAAAAAAAAAAAAAAAATACTGACAACATAAGCACCTCTCCCCTTTCACATACAAAAACAGTAAATATAAAACTGCAAACATTTTGAAAATCAGTATATACAAGATACAAAATCACATAAATTGTCAAGCCCCCCCCCCCCCAAAAAAAAGCAAGTACAAGTTTAAATATTCTATGACTATGATTGTTCAGAACTTCTGGTTAAGAACTTGTAAATTGTTTTATCAATTCCAAATAAACTGCTCATGTAGTGTCCTTCACGCTGCCACCATATATAAAGTCATCTGTAGAGGCTATGCTGGAGTCGAAAACAAGTAAATCACTACCCCTCATTCCTTTCACATGATCAAGTTCAATACATGAAGGCAATCTACATGTCAATGTCCTCAAAACCTTTGTATACTTCTGATAGAAATGTATTCCTTATCATGGTCACTGCACAGGAAGGTAGTGGAACCCGCACTCTTTTGCCCAAAAATTGCCAGCACCATCGAACGAGCTGACGATAAGCAATGTGCCTCGATTTCCTGCAGAGAAAAGAGAAGAAATGAAGTAAATCTTAAAGTTACGAGTTTGAATTTGAAGGGATACATGAAAACAATAGAAAACACAATATAAATTGTTACACAAAGAGAAATATTATTCCTTCATCAAGCTTGGCTCCATTGCAAGTAAAATCTTAGCCACATACAGACAAGCATCACTGGAGTAATACTGAAACGAGTTGCACCAAGGCACACTGTGCTTTGTGCAAATATTTCCCTCTGTATACCCATGAGGTAACTTTACAGAGCCATTTATATATAGACATCTTTGTTCAATTTTTTGTTTTAAATTGTTATATCAGTAATTGCTTCTGAAAGGAAAAGGGGAGGGTACCATGTAACTTATGGTTATGTAAACAAAATGTATCGTACTCATTTTCAGAAGCGTCTCGACGAGCTCGCCCTCCATACTGTTGGATGTACTGGTATGAGGCAGTTTCCAGCACCCACCGGTCCAAACAAACCATTGAAAATCTTGGATGTGATGTGATGCATCCCAACTCTCCTTCTGTGAACAAATCCATCTTCTCAACAATTCGCTGTATCTCTTTACAGCATACCGACTCACGCACTGTGGGCATCGGTTCACAGCCACCGTTACACGAGCACCTGCAGCATGAAAGAAAAATTAATCTATATTTAAAAAAAAAAGTTTTCTTTTGATGTGGATCTACATACTCTAGATTTCTAGTCTAGATCTAGACCTATGTTTACATGACGATTCAGCAAGCACGAAAAGTAATAAATACACTGCAAGGTTCAGGCTACATCTGATCTAAATTTGCTGATCACATCAGAGTTATGTTTACTTTTAAAAGTTTTACATATTATACAATCACAAGGTTCAAAAATCAAAATGCTGTGACAAAAAAAGTCCTGAAATTCAATTTCGAGTAGATCCTAGAAATAGTAGAATGTTATTTCTAGAATTTATCATTTGACATAGGGTCTAGTCTATGTAATGAATTTGACAATCAAAAATTCGTGGTTTGCTATCAAAGAAAGGCAATTTAGCAGCAGACATAACAAAACCAGATTTTTCAGTTTCATGCTCTTACCATTCGTTGTTTCCCAATCTTGCTTCATTCACGCCGTCTCCAGCAGCTGCAGCAGCTGCCCCCGCAGCTTCCGCGGCCCCTTCAGGCGCGTCTTCTAGGGGTTCAAACAAGTAGGGTTGAATTCCTCTTGCCGGCCTGTCCACTTCAGCTTCTTCGCCATCTCCTGAACCTGTATCTCCATCTCCATCGTCGTCATCTGATAAATCAGAGTAAGTATCTGGCTCCAAAAACTCCTCCCAATCTGACTCGCGGTCACTATCCATCTTTCTTCGTAATGTTAAAAGCTAAGAATATGTTGAAAGCGAAGAGTAATTCTCAACAAGTTACGTAAACGCCGAAAGCCAAAACTCAAAACTAATGCCGTGAGAGGAAGTTGTCATGTTTTCCAGTCGCTTTACGAAGGGAAACGTAGTTGCCGAACTAAAAATTATTGTACTCATACATAAAACGACTGTTTACGCGTTTACGACCACTGAAAAACTTTCGTTCGGCAAGCTCAGATTGATGAGAACATTGTTCACAGAAAAGTTTAAAAAACAAACAAAAGCTGTATATTTAGGCAAAAGTAATCACTGATCTTGTAGAAAATATATTGATAGAGATTATTCATCCCTAAGACTATATTCATGAATTTTATTTTTTCTTAAATTGTCTGTTAAACAGACGTGTAAAATATCGCATTTTGTTTACAATGTTAATGTGATTCAGGATCGCTGCAGCTTGCAGCTCTCGAGCCTCTTACTTTTCTGACGTCACAAGTGGGCGTGCCGCGATAAGCCAATCAGCTCACGAGTTTTAAGGAAAGGTCCCAAAACCTCTAGTTTTTCCCCCTTTTCGCCAAAATGAGAAATAATTTTGAAAATCAATTGCCAGATTCGAGATTGGAAGGCAATAATACAGGGAAACAGTACCTTCTTTCTTTCTAATTGAAACGGACAAAATGGCGCCTGGACGGTTATGCATGAGTGATTTCGAGAATCGAAGAATGTAGTGGCCTTGATGAGATGTTCGAGACTATGCCCATGAAATTTGAAAGGAAAATGACATGAGGAAAGCACCTAACTAGGAATAACAAACACTACGTGCAAAACGAATGCGATTTCCTGACGATAAGGATAAGGATAAGGAAAAGGACAATATTAATGGGGCAGAATGTGAACGAAAACAAGGCAATGACGAAGGTCGTCATTGCAACTAGAAATGCAATCGTGTCACAACGATGTGCGTGCAATGACGCCATGATTGTACATGTCAAACGAAAGAGCTTCTCTCGGACTATCCCGAGCAATTTGTACGAAGTCTGTAGCTTCTGTGATATTGGAGATAGGTAGGGCGAAAGAAAGGCCTCAACAGTGACCATGATTGGATGGTACTGACTTTGCCTACAAAGTTTGAGAGAAATTGGATTAGGGGAAAGAACCTAGAAAGGGCTCGCAAGCACTGTGTGCAAAAACCAATGGGATTTGGTGCATGTTCGTCATTGCAATAAAGATCGTTCTGGGGGTCCAAGAGTGAACCCGGTATGCCCCGTAGACAATGCGTGTAATGCATGGGCGGAAAACGTACAGGATCTGTACTATGACCGGAGTTAATTTGTTTTTTCTCTCTCTCTTTATGTCTTTTTATTGGCCGTATTTGGTATCATTAGAAAGAGAATTCCATGGTTGTTATTGTAAACCACTCTCTTTTTTTCTATGATAATCCTATCGAAACAGGTGATGTATAATAGATTTATAGGACAAAATGGCGTCTTAAATGGCCCCCTTGACCAATTTTATAAATCCGGCCACGAGTTTCCCTGCTTTTTGCAACTCGAAATGTCACTGCAAAATTTTAAGGAAAGAAAAGGACGTTTAGGGGGCGAAAAGCAGTCTGAAAAAATGACGTCATAGCCGATACGTGTTATAATTGGGCAGAAACTTGGCGAAATTCTTATAGTGACCCTTGTTCAAATGTGATTTACTCAAAATTGTCTGTGTGAACATATACCATCCTTGGTATCATTCGAAAGGGCACTTCATTGCGGTCAGTTTGACACCATTGTCATCTGCGCACAATGTACTGCACGCATTAAAGGCGCTATTACGTAATGCATAGCAAATTCATCATTTTTGGCGATAACTTTGCGCTGACGTTATAAAATATTCATTGTTTCATTGACGTATGTATAAAGATCGCCATTTTAGAGCAAGTTGAAGTTATTTCTCAATTTTCTTGAAAACTGCATATTTAGAGGGCATTTTTCTTACAGTCGGTCAGTGTTAGGGTATATAATTTTGTATATGGCTTGAAAGGGCATATCTTCAAGTATCTAAATCCCAAAAAGGGTACAGGTCTGCTAAGCCATAATAAAGATACGGCCACAGAAAGAAAGCCAGTTCCCAGAACTTTAGAGGGCGCTATTTATGTTTTGCAAAGCCATTGGAGCGTATAATTTCGCATGGCTATGTGCAATTATGAGATAAAGATACTGTCAGATTTAGATGCAAAACTGAATTTATATGAGAAAGTTATGGCAGTTTTAGATTATTTAGGGGTCAATTTTTCAAGAACTTGAGAGATTTTTGATGGAGTCGGTTTCAGATTTGAATTTTGAGTATGAAGATGGCATTTTGAAGGTCAGGTTATACGTCGCAGATAATAGAACATATCTTAGACTATCTAGAGAAATTTGTTAAAAGTTTGTAGGATCTAGGATAGTGGAGATAGGAAGGACAAAAAGAAAGGCCTTAAAATGGACCAGAAACGGACAAAATGGCGCCTGGACGTTTATGCATGAGTGATTTCAGAAAACGAAAAAGTAGGTGACCTAGATTGGATATCAGAGATTACGCCTACAAAGTTTGAAAGAAATCGAGCAAGAGAAAAGGACCTAGATAGGAATAACAAGCACTACGTGCAAAACGAATGGGATTCCGGACGACAAGAAGAAGAAGAGGTAGAAGAAGTAAGAATATTAATAAGAAGAATGTGAACGAAAACAAGGCAATGACGAAGGTCGTCATTGCAATAACTGAAAACAGAAAATCATGTCCTTTCAGCAACGTTCGTAAATCACTGGTATCAAATTAGGGGAAATTTTGTTAAATATTTTTTTAAAAATTTAATCGAATCTATTTATATTCTATTCATATATGTTTTAAATGTTGTACTCATTTATTTATTTATTTTTTTTTTAATTTTTTTTTTAATTTATTTATTTTCAGGTGGGCTGTATTTAATACAGACCACCTTATGATTTTGTTAAAATTGCCTTTATTATTTATTTATCAGGTGGGCTGTATATAATACAGACCACGTTATTGTTTTCGTTAGAATATTTTTCTTATTTCGACCCCCTTTTTTGCTAGCAGGATAACTTAAAAATGGCTCAACCATGTGCCTTGAAATTTGGCACACATATGCATTGGCATGAGGAAAGAGCACTATAAGGTTTTCAACTTTGACCTTGACTGATAACGTCATCTAGGCGCCATTTTGTGAAAATCAAAATATGATCATATCTTCGGAATGAGCGTCTGTTTAAGATAAATGGCCGTGCGCACGAGCACATGTAATACATAGCATGTATTGGCAAAAACATGCTTACACAAATTTCATCATAGCTATTTGGGATGCACCCAGACACCCAATTGTTCTCATATTTTGATAGAGTATGAGTCGTAGATATGATTTCATTTCTCATTTGGCCATTACAAAATATTATGAGGTCATCATGATGGCATTCAAACTCAAATTACGAATTGACATATTATGACGTCAGCAAATTTATGGAAAATTGAGTGTATCTCTGTAAATATTAATCAATTTTTTTTCTCTCCAGATTTTCACATGTTGTAGCTTAGACAGATTTCTACAAGCTCAATGGCCATTGTTTTTCATTTTGAAGACGTCATCATAGTGAAAATTTCAATTAAAAGGCACATGTCAACAATTTCTTAATTTGAGTGTTATGCCTATCAGTGCAAGTGAATTACGTTCACATTGTAAATCTACACGATATTGTTTTTTTTAGCAGTATATCGCTCATTTTTGTTCGATTTTGTTATATTTTAGTTGGAACAGCCCACCTATACTTGTTCCGAACAAGTATAACATGTCTAGTTTATTATTTATCAGGTGGGCTGTATAATTTACAGACCACCTTATAATTTCGTTAGAATTGCCTTTATTTATTTATTTATTTATTTATTTATTATCAGGTGGGGTGTATAACGTACAGACCACGTTATAATTTCGTTAGAATTGCCTTTATTTATTCTTTATTTTTCTTATTTCGAACCACTTTTTTGTAAGCACGATTACTTGAAAATGGCTCAATATAATGCCTTCAAATTTGGCACACATATGTATGGGCATATGTACAAAGCACAATAACGTTTACAACATTGACCTTCACTGATGACGTCATCTAGGCGCCATTTTGTAAAATTTTACGAAAATCAACACATGATCATATCTTCATAACCAAAGGTTATTTCTCATTCATATTTATCATGATCAAGGTCAATATCCGTCCAATAAATTTTGGGTCAAAAAACGCGCGCGTCAATGCGCGCGCACATTTTTAAAAAGCTCAGAATCGTCTCAAAATCATTTTGCATACGTTTTGGGCCATTCTAAGCATTTTATAAAAAATCGCGCACACGAGCATGCGCGCGAGTTTTCGCGCGTAAAACTATTACACAACATAGAATTGCCATTTTTTTTCTTTCATAATATTTCATATATTTTTACAAACAAATTGATACCATGTTTGTCTCTTTATGACTATTAATAACGGAATGATCGACCGTTTAAAATTAATTTCCGTGCGCGCGAGCTCTTGTAATACATAGGATATATGGGCAAAAACATGCCTATACAAAATCGATTGTAGCCCTTTAGGATGCAAGGTGACCCCATTTTATTCTTCATATTTTGATAGAATATGAGTCGGAGATATGATTTCATGTCTCATTTGACCCTCAATTAAATTATGACGACATCATAATGGCCTCTGAACTCAAAATTTCAATTTGCATATTTTGACGTCAGCATATTTTTGGAAAATTGATTGTATCTCTGTAAATATTGATCAATTTTCTTCCAAATTTTGATATGTTCTAGCTAAGACAATTCTCTACAAATGCAGTTTCTACGATTCTTCATTTTGGCAAAGGCATCATGGCGTATTTTTTTGCGATTAAAGGAGGCATGTCAATTTTTCACATTCTGCGTGTATTCTCTATGGGACATGATTTTTTCTCAAAACTCGATTCTACGTTCCAGTCTTTCGCGAGCAATATCTCCGTCGTTTTAGCTTCATTTACGCTGAACTTCGAGTATGTTGTAGCTGAGACAAAAAGCTATCTCAGATGTACCCTTCATTTTGTCTCAATTTTTTGTTGGATCAGCCCACCTATACTTGTTCCAAACAAGTATTACAAATCTAGTTTATTTTTCTTATTTCGACCCACTTTTTTGTTAGCAAGATAACTTTGAAATGGTTCAATCAAATGCTTTGAAATTTGGCACACATATGTATAGGCATATAGACAAATCAAAATAACCTTTTCAACCTTGACCTTGACTGATGACGTCATCTAGGCGCCTTTTTGTGAAAATTAACTCATGATCATATCTTCATAAAGGAAAGTCATTTCTCATTCATATTTATCATGATCAAGGTCAATTTCAGATCAAAAAACGCGCGCGTCAGTACGCGTGCAAAATTTGTTAATGCTCAAAATCGTCTCAAATTTTTTTTGCATACGTTTCAGGTAATTTTAAGCATTTTATAAAAAATCGCGCAAACGCGCATGCGCGCGTGTTTTCGCGCGTAACACAATTAGACAACATAGAATCGCCATTTTTTTTTTTATCATGATATTTCTCATATTTTTTCGAACAATTTGATACCATGATTATCTCTTTATGACCATTAATAACAAGATGAGCGTCAATTCAAGATAAATGTCCGTGCGCGCGAGCTCTTTTAATACATAGCATGTATGGGCAAAAA